TCAGTGACGATGACGATGTGGATGCCGGTGACGTCATCAGTGATGATGACGATGACGATGTGGATGCCGATGACGTCATCAGTGATGATGACGATGACGATGTGGATGCCGGTGACGTCATCAGTGATGATGACGATGACGCTGTGGATGCCGGTACGTCATCAGTGATGATGACGATGACGATGTGGATGCCGGTGACGTTACCGACATCCGCATCGTCATCGTCATCTTCACTGATGACGTCATCAGTGACGTCACTGATGTCGTCACCGGCATCCGCATCGTCATCGTCATCATCACTGATGACGTCGTCAGCGACGTCACTGATGACGTCACCGACATTTGCATCGTCATCGTCATCATCACTGGTGAAGTCATCAGTGACGTCACTAATGACGTCATCAGTGACATCAGTGAGGACATCATCGGCATTGGGGGTCACGTGACCCCCCCAAGGTCACGTGACCCCCCCTGGTTAGTCTAACCCCCCCCCCCCCCAGCGCCCTTCCCTCCTCCTCCTCAAGAGCTGCGCTCCAATTCGGCGTTACAGGGAGTTGTAAGCGGCTTTCACTTTTTTCCCAAGGAATTGGCAACATCGACGAGGAACGCCCTACATCGCCAACTACAATATCAACAGAGACGACAACTAGAACATAAACTACTACAACTACTAACAGATCAATAATGGTCGTCAACTCCAGTGATGGGAAGAGCCCATAAAAGGAAATCAGCTCGGAATATCGAGTGTGATACCTTTAAGGAGTTCCTTCTGAAGGTCTTTGAGTTGCCCATGAAACAGGGCTATAAGACCGTACTCTCAAGAAAAACATATTCGTTCAGAACAGGAGACGATCTGCCGCCACACTGTAAGACGTGCTGTATTTCAAAAAAAAAAAAAAAAAAATAGAAGAACTGTTGTCGCGATTACAAGAGAGAAAGAGAGTAAAAAGAGAAACGAATCGGGAGAGTATATAAGATAACGTGCACGTTTCAATTGTTTACCGCTGCCGTACGCGGCGCCACCGAAGCACCGCTACGGGCATCGGGTAATGAGGGAACTTAGTTTGAGAGCCCTAGTAAGAAAGGTGCAAATGTAACTACGAAGAGCTTTTTCAATTTAATGGCGGGCACCTCTTGACGTCTTACGCAAACTGAATGCTCATGCGCACGCCTGCGTTTTTGTGAGGCCAGGAGGATTGAGGAGGCTGATGAAATGACATACTTTACTAGATAATTTCCCGGACAAACTCCTTGCACAAATAACTCTTTCCACTTTAGAACGCTGGAGGGGAGGCGAGTCTTCCCAGCGTTTGCTCTGCTATAGTTGAAAGGGTGGAGGAGGGTTTCGCGGGACGGGCTTGTCCTGTAGGGAATAAAGATCAGTGGATCATTCGCGAAAAAAAGAGCAAAGTCTATAGAGCGAAAATTATAATATTGTCACGAATGGCAAATTTTGAGGCGGCGAAGAACTGGAGAAACTAAACGTTTTAATGGGGCAAACTCGCGCCCAATACAAAATAGAAAAAGGCTAGCGTGCCAGGCGTCAAATGTTGGCGTAATAGCAGGATCGAGCGCTGGGGCCAAACTGACTCCAGCTCGACATCTGTATGTGTACTCGCGTACATACATATGTACTCGCGTGGGTTTCTGGAATAATCGGCGTAGAACGTTCGGCGCGTACAACATTCGTACCTCGATCAGACGTTAAGGTTCTGTAACTTACGAGAACACTAAATTGGAAGAATAAATAAAAGACTCGTTGCTCCCAGGGGTCGAACCGGGGGCTTCCGCATGAAAGTCAGGAATGTTTTTTTTTTTCTTTATGAAAGTCAACAATGGTAACTGTTGTGTTTGAGTATTGTTTCAATAAATAGCGCGAGGCGGCGGGCAAAGAAGTGAGCGCGCGCCTGGGATGTGCGAGACGAAACGAGGGCACGGGACATTAAAACCGTTTGGCTCTGGAAGCTACATCGGCTGCACCTCGTCCTCTCTCTTGTCGTAAGCACCGTGGTTGTAAACCACAACATAATTGGCGACGAGGTATGGAACGTCCATCACGACTGCAACGGGCATCGTAGAAGGAATCCACCGGGCCGCGGCAAGGACGAACGAACATGGCAGGGTTGGGAAGGTTCGATCCATTTGTGGAGGATGGTGACGAAGATTTTGAATCTTACGTCGAAAGATTCGAACAATACCTAAAGGCTACAAAGGTAAGCGAAGCCCTAAGGCTCTCTGCTTTTGTCACCGCAATTGGCCAGAAACCGTACAAGACTCTTAAGACTTTAGTCCATCCGGTCAAACCAGAAGAGAAAAGCTGGGAGGAGTTGGTGGCGGTTCTGAAAGGTCATTACGCTCCGAGGCCGATGGTGATAGCCGAGCGGTTTAAGTTTAACCGTTGCTACCAAAAGGAAGAGGAGACGGTAGCCACTTTTTCAGTGGAGCTGAAGAGGCTCGCGTCGACTTGCGAGTTCGGCAGTTTCTTGGATGATGCTTTGCGCGACAGGTTCGTCGCGGGATTAAAAGACAAGAAAACACAGTCCTATTTGTGGAAGAAGACGACGTTGACGTTTGGTGCCGCGTGTGACATTGCTAAAAGCATCGAGTTCGCACGCAAGGAAACCATCACGTTCCAGCCTACTGCAGGTCGTCAAGGGTCGTCTAGCCAACGAGAAGACGACGACGTGAACGCGGTTCGGCAACAGAAAAGGGAACCGTGGCGCAAGTCAAATAAGGGTCCACGAGCTTCCACGACTAAACAGACATCCAGTCATACGGGAGACACCACGTCTTCATGTTCCTACTGCGGACAGGTACACACTGGACAGCCCTGCAAGTACCGCAAGTACAAGTATCATGTCTGTAAAAAGGTCGGACACCTGGCAAAAGTTTGTAGGTTCAAAACAGACTCCGTTAAACACGTCGCAAGTGAGGGAGCTAATGATATGCAGCTTTACACAGTGTACGCGTGTGAAACGGGAAGGCGTAACTATGAAGTAGATGTTAAAGTAGCCGACAAGCTCGTAAGAATGCAGATAGACACTGGAGCGTCCGTGTCGGTAGTGCCAGAATCGTGGTGTGTGAAATACTGGGCAAACATTCCCAAGGAGCCATGCAACCTTAAATTGAGAACGTATGGGGAGAATTTTCTCACGGTGACTGGGAAGTTGTCAGTACCAGTCGAGCACAATGGACAGAGAAAGACACTTCCTCTTATAGTAGTTAAGGCACCAGGGGGCAACGTAACCCCGCTGCTTGGTCGAGACTGGCTAGAAGAGCTGAGGCTAGACTGGTCATGCGTAAACAGCGTAAGAGAAGAAAAGGAAGCAAGGCTCCTTGAGAAGAACGCGGAACTTTTTGGAGAAGGTGTGGGTTTGATAAAAGGACAACAGGTCAAACTGGTTTTGAAGGAACAAAGCACACCTGTCTACTGCAAACCGCGACCTGTGCCCTATGCGCTAAGAGAAGCTGTAGAACAGGAAATTCAATCAGTAACAAAAGGAATATTGGTACCTGTGTTGCAAAGTGAGTGGGCGACACCTTTGGTAGTGGTACCTAAACCAAACAAACAGGTCCGGTTGTGTGGAGATTACAAAGTGACCTTAAACCCAGTCTGTCGGACGGATCACTACCCTCTCCCGCTGATGGAAGATTTGTTCGTTTTACTGAGTGGTTGTAAGTACTTTACCGTACTTGATCTGCCTACAGCCTACCAGCAGCTGGAATTGCATCCGGAGTCACAAGACTTGGTCACTGTGAACACACACCTTGGCTTGTTTAAGTCCACGAGATTGCCTTACGGCATCACTAGTGCTCCTGCAATTTTTCAGTCCGTCATGGACAAAGTACTAGAAGGGCTGAGAAATGTCGCGTGCTATCTAGACGATGTACTAATAGCGGGCGAAACTTATGAGGACTGCTATAAAATGGTGGAAAGCGTGCTGGCACGGTTCAGCCAACAAGGCATCAGACTAAAGAAAGAAAAATGTCGATTTTTTCAGACGTCTGTTCATTATTTGGGACATGTGATAGATCAACATGGGGTTCGACCATCGGAAGAGAAAGTAAAGGCCATACGGGAGGCCCCATGCCCCAAAAATGAATCAGAACTGCGCGCCTACTTGGGCATGATTAACTTTTGTGGCAAGTTTGTGCTGAACATGTCAACCGAGCTGAAGCCGTTGTATGACTTATTACAGAAGGGCACAAAATGGCGTTGGTCAAGGGCAGAAGACAACGCATTCAACAGAAGTAAGGCGTGGCTTACGCATGAAAACGTCTTAACGTTCTATGACCCAAAAAAGGAATTGGGGCTTGTATGTGACGCTTCAGCGTACGGAGTGGGAGCGGTTCTTTTTCACGGAGTTGGGAATGATGAGAAACCGATTGCTTATGCATCACGAACTCTGATCAAGGCTGAAAAGGGTTACGCCCAAATTGAAAAAGATGCCCTAGCAGTTGTTTTTGGGTTGAAAAAGTTTCACAAGTATCTGTATGGCAGAAATTTCAGCATCTATTCGGATTACCAGCCGTTGGCAGAGCTGCTAGGTCATGAAAAACAAATTCCGGCGATGTCAGCAGCCAGGATGCAGAGGTGGGCTCTCTTACGTGCTGCCTACAGTTACAAGGGGGTTTATCGGAAGGGTAGCCAGATTCAGAATGCTGATGTGCTGTCACGTCTGCCTTTGCCCAACGTGAACGATAGCTCAGACTACGTCAGTTTCTTTTCGGCGGTGGATGAAGTGCCATTGTCAGCTGGTGAAATTAGGAGGGAAACTGAAAAGGATAGTGTGATTAAAAGAGTGTTGTTTTTCACACAGAACGGATGGCCTTCACATGTGGACAATGAGACATTGCAACCGTACTTTGTGCGCCGTTACGAATTGTCGGTTGACCAAGGGTGTGTAACATGGGGAAATCGAGTGATCATTCCCGAAGTGTTTAGGAAAAAAGTGTTGCCCCTGTTGCACGAGGGACATCCAGGCACCACCAGATTGAAAATGCTATCACGTAGTCACGTGTGGTGGCCTTTGATAACATATGATGTCGAAAACACTGTCAAAAACTGTAGTACTTGTCAACTAACGCAGAACGCGCCACCACGTGTTCCATTATTAACGTGGGGTTGGCCAACGCGCAGATGGCAAAGGGTGCATCTTGATTTTGCATACCGGGATCAGAACTGGTTTTTGATCCTCGTAGATGCTCTTTCAAAGTGGGTAGAGGTGTTTTTAATGAGTTCCACTACGACAAAATGTACTATCGAAAGATTGCGAAGTGTTTTCGCCGCGTTTGGACTACCAGAAGAGGTAGTGACAGACAATGGACCCCAGTTTGTGGCGACAGAGTTCGTAGAGTTTCTGTCGATGAACGCGGTACGCCACACGAAAAGTCCTCCGTACCATCCCGCCTCAAATGGAAGCGCGGAACGGTGTGTGCAAACCGTCAAGCGGGACCTCCTGAGGCAGGTAATCGACGAGCAACGGACATGTGTACCGAAATCGATGCAACATCAAGTCGACCAGTTCCTGTTTGCATACAGAAATACCCCAACTGGTACGACCAACAGAACTCCAGCCGAGCTGTTTCTCTCTTGGAAGCCTAGGACCCGTCTGAGCTTCCTTCATCCTGAAATGGGGAGACGCATGAGAGATCGCCAGCAACAAATCAAGGCAGCCGCCGACATGAGAAGAGGCTCTTGGCGAACTTTTGAAGAAGGCGACCAAGTCCTCGTCCGGGGATCACGTCCGACAGATCCTGCATGGGTGGTGGGACGTGTTGTGAAGAAAGTAAGTGCATCAACCTACGTCGTGATAGTGCAAGATCAGCATCGGTATGTGCACGTGGATGATGTCCGTCCGAGACACTTCGAAGATTCGTCTGCACAGAGAAGAAATGTCGACACTCCGGCTGCAACACCACGAAGGGCGTCCGGTGGTTCTCGAGACAACATGAGAGAGCCTGCTGCCCTCGATATGGAGCCTGTTTCCGAGACAGCGGTACCGACCACACCAGTGCTTCGAAGTAGCATACGACAACGTAGGCCACCGGAGAGGTATTCTTGTGTGAGTCAGCCAAAACATTGAAGGGGAAGGAGTGTTGTGTTTGAGCATTGTTTCAATAAATAGCGTGAGGCGGCGGGCAAAGAAGTGAGCGCGCGCCTGGGATGTGCGAGACGAAACGAGGGCACGGGACATTAAAACCGTTTGGCTCTGGAAGCTACATCGGCTGCACCTCGTCCTGTCTCTTGTCGTGAGCACCGTGGTTGTAAGCCACAACAGTAACCACTCGGCCACGCACGCGCTCGCAAGACGGTGAGTGTGGCAATATATATAAACTGGATAGATATTCTAAAAATATAACACAGGATAAAACCCTCATGTAAAGGTCCAATAAACCAAGTGTTCCATCTGCAGCTCGCCACCAATTTGCTTTATGGTCAAGCGCGAGCGAGGCAAACACCAGGGGAGCGTGCGGCTTTATGGCTCTACGGCGCCACTGCTGCCGCAGTAAGACGCCGAATGCCTCCAACATGGCGTCAATGCACTGATGGCAGACGACAATGTGAGTTTCAATTTCGAGGCTAACCGAAAATGACATCAGGTGCAAGACGCCCATATGAAGCGAGTACCCGATCCCTTTTGCCGCCGAATACTCCCGCAGACACAGTCGGTCACGACGCAAAAAAAAGTCGAGCATGCTGGACTGCCTTCGCACATAGAAATTGAGGGACGAAAGTTAATTAACATGGCATCCGGTGAAATTTAAAGTCGGAAGTATGTTATGCGAAGCCACGCTATGGACACCAATATTGTCTTTGTCGTGTCAGCGGAATTACATGAGAGGGAATGTTTCTGGCAGTGCCGCGCTCGTGATTATTTAACTCTGCGGCCACTGCACAAATGTGGGAATTTTAAAGCGAAAACCCAGCGTAGACTTTGCTTGCTCGTATTGGCCGTACCGTAGCAAGGCCACGGTACAGAGTACTAGGAAGGGTTTGACATCATGGTGCGTACGACACCGTACGGCGCGCAGAGTTGAAGGGGGCTCCCTTCGCTGGGCCTGGTCAGACTGGATGCGCGGATGTGTATGAGACAATGATGCATTGCACCCAGAAAAGAGTCATCCGTACATTCACAGTTCATTCGTCACAGATGATCAAACGAGACGGAATTTATAATCGTATTTAAAAGGGGAGAGGTGCAAATGCTTCTAGTCAAGGTGGCACAACTTACCACCCGATACAAAGGGCCAACACCATCTATTCATTTATAGAAGTGCGCTTTGGTTGTTTTCACACTCCCTCTTAAAAGAATTGAGCGGACTAACTGGGGACCAACAAGCAAGGGCCTCGTTATGTCACGACCGAGAGCTTATTGTGTCTCTGTTTATTCGGCGGAATATGGTCTTTATAGAAGATAGTCGATTTGCTATTGCGTATCGCCGTAGTCTGCAACAATGCGCCGCAGAAACCACCCTTATTAATGCTAAATCATTATCTGTCTTATGGTGCGAGCCGACGTCATCAGCTTTGAAACCATGCGAAACGGCACCTTAAAGGCCCGTTCACACATGCAGCGGAGCGCTACAAGCATAGCGCTAACCTCGCGCTAAGCGCGTGCTGACAGCAGCGTTCACCAGCTTTGTATCGCACCGTCAGAACTGTTGCTCATGGCATACGATAAGTAGCTGATGGCACGTGAGGAGCGCTACATCAGCGCTTCGCTGCATGTGAGAACCGGCCTTTAAGGGGTATTCACACGAGGGAGAAATCCCGGGGATTTCTCCCCGGCACGCGCATCCCACGACGAAGACGTCAGGCTTTGCGATGTGCAAAAGCCTCGCGTTTTCATCTCGTGATACGCGCGTGCCGGGGAGAAATCCCCGGGATTTCTCCCTCGTGTGAATACCCCTTTATGAAACCACGCGCAAAGCTAGTCAACGGCACCTTTTACACTTCGGTCCCATTGGCTGGCGCGCATCGACGAGGCTCCCATTGGCCACTGCGCGTCAGTTTGTGTGGTGCCTCCTGACGGTGTTATCACACTGTTGTGTTATCACTGATCACCGCGTTCGCTCGCTTCTTATCGGTTGTACAACGCGTGGCAATATATACGGCGCATGGAATAAACCAAGGGATTCGTTGTGCTGGGAGCTACGTTGCTGTCTCTTCCTACCTCGCACGACAGTTTGAACGATCGCTCGCCCGATGGCGCTGCGTGTCCGCGAGGGAGCGGCTCCACCGTTCCACGCCCAAGGTCAGCGCGTTGTACGCCGCAGATTAAAGAAGGGAGCGAGGAGCGGCGTGGCGTGCTTTCGCATTCACAACTCATAAGAAGTGCTTATGTGAACCTCGAGCATTTTTTTTCGTTTCAGGACACTGACCTTCAAAACTTGAGACGGCCGATGCTGGAACTGCACCATGGCCGACCCTTTGGAAGGAATGCAATGCGTACGGACCCACCCGAAGAACGGACGGCTGCGCTTCGTGTTTTTCTATTCAAGTGAGCTCACGAGACAACCCGCGACTCAGACCGTGTGTTGCATGCTTTTAGGTAATAATTATTTGTTTTTTTTTTTTATTTCGAGGAAAACAAAAAACAATACGTAACCGTCTTCTAAAAATGACCTATTATGAATCCAGCGGAGCGTCGTACGTTGCCTAGCTTTTGTTTCCAATATTGGGACCATTTTTTTCTAATAAAAGGCAGCATGAGGAGTGCTGCTGAACTTCACGAATAAAACAGTTCTACCGAGAATACAGGAAAGTGAGTAGAAGGAGAAGTGATGAGGGAAAGGAAATAAGAACACGTGCACGTTTCCATTGATTCCCGCTGTCGTGCGCGGCGCTACCGGCGCATCGCTACGGGTAACAGGTAGAGAGGGACCTTAGGATGAGGGCCTAGTAGGAGAGGAAGCAAACCTAAACACGAAGGGCGTCTTCAGTGTAATCGCGGGCAGCTCTTGACCTCTTACGCAGAATGATTACTGTTGCGCACGCCTGGGTTCCTGCGTGGCCAGCAGGATAGAGGCTGAACAATGCAAATTCTTTACTACAGACTTTCCTGGACAGGCTCTTCCCACAAAGCACTCTTTCCACTTTAGAACGCTGGATGGGAGGCGAGACTCTCCAGCGTTTGCTCTGCTAGAGGGGAAAGACAGAATAGCTTCGCGGAGCGAGCTCGTCTTTTAGAGCGAATACAGTCCACTGCGCTCATTTGCATTAGGCAGCGCGCCTACAGCGTCAAATTCTTCGCCGAGAGAACAGATGGCCGTCGCGCTGTCCCAACACCTCGTACTCGTGTCTAGGAGGTGTTGGCTGTCCACGTTGGTTGCGTGGCACCGAGGGATGGTGTAGCTGCCGAGGATACTGGGTTCACCGAAGCAGCGCCTGTCTCAACTGGCGCTCCAGGTGCTCACGACGATAGATTGCGCCAGTCATGCCTCCCAATTCGAACCCTGAAGCTGCTACGCAATCAGCTACGCATCGACGCAAAGCCGCGCCAAGGTCACTGGGTTCTCGCGGAGTGAGATGCCGTGCCAACTATTCTTCAATGTCCCCCACGAACCCGTAGGCCGTGTGAACCTTTACCCAGATTTGTGCCTATCTTAAATGCTGTAATCAAGATACTGTATTTCAAATAAATTTGGTAGCATTTCGGTACCTTGCAAATGCATTTCGTCTAGACTATTTCTACTCTATCTTAACTTAATTTTTCACTATCTTGAACTTAGTATCTCAAATAGATTTCTAACCGTAGAAAATGTATGTCGCCGGATCAATCTACGAAAATAGGGATCGTCCGACTTTAGTGTGAAGCTGAACCGAGTGGAGAATTGGAGGCAAGCGACCAAATACAGGACAGGAAACAAGGCACGAGCAAACGCAGTCTCAGAATGCCAACAAAAGACCAAACCAATAGCCGCAAGTACGCCCGCCTTTATGTGTCCTCCTGTCCGCTTCTTTTTTCTTTTTTTTTAAGCGGAGCGATTAAGGGCGTGTTTCTCCAGGATCGTGCCCGTCAGTTAACAAATGATGACCCAGCACTCTGGACAGCGCCGTCAATGAGCAACGGCGGCAACCTTTTGAGCTTTTCAACTCTGGCTTGCCGACTTGCGGCCGGCAGTTATTCCATTCCCACCATAGTACAGCTTCGCTGGTCTTCCTTTTTCACGAGAGTGGAAAGGCTGAAAGCTCTTTTACAGCGAAGCTGTTTATGGCTAAGTTTCCGGGGAGTTTTCCTGTACGTAACCAAAAATTCTGCGCTCACACCGCACCCAGGCGGCACACCGCACCCGCGCGCCGCACGTGCCGGCGTCTGCAGCAGTAACTGTTGTAAAGCAAAAGCCTAAAACGAATGGCATCTTGCACGCGCGTTCGTCAACGCTTTATTTTGGTTATTTACTTGGAATCCGTTATACGGGGAAGGCGCGCGCTTGCGGCGCGTGGAACGCCCTTCCCTACATTACCTTTAAAGTTTAGGTAATTTAGCAATATACCTATTGCTAAATTACCCAAGCATCAAGGAGAATGCAGGGAATAGTGTTCGACACGCCACACGCGCACGCCTTCCTCGAATAAGATATTCGAAGTAAATAACCAAAATAAAGCGCCGACGAACGCACGTGCAAGATGCAGTTTGTTTGAGGCATTTGCTTTAGGAAAGTTACTAATGTGAAGCCAGCACGCGCGGCGCGTGGAACACCAATCCCTGCATTCTCCTTTATGCTTGGGTAATTTAGCAATATGTCTATTTTCGTGAGCGTAACCAGAAACTCTATGCTCGCATTGCTTTCTCTGTGTCGTCGTTCCAAGCGCTTGCATGTTTATTT